TACAAGTGAAATTCTCATATAAAATATCTCGAGATCCTGACCAGATAGAAAGATACTGTCTTACGCAAAGCTGTTCAGGAGATCATAGCCTTTTTGCTGGTGAACAGTAGTTCAGAATCTTCTCACTAGGTAGTGCTCGTATACATGGTAAGTTCTCGCATGTGATACATCACTTGATCCTGACCAGATAGAGAGTAAATGTCTTTGGAAAGTTGTTCAGGAAGTCAAGATCTTTTCGTTGGTGGACAGTTGTTCAGAATTTTCTCGCTACTCGGTGCTAGTATCCACATGCAATTCTCGCATATACAATAGCTCGATAGATAGAAAGTTACTGTTTCCGGCAAATTTGTTCAGGGGGTCAAGACTTTTTGGCTGGTGGACAGTAGCCCAGAAATTTCTCACCACGTGGCGCTAGTAAACGTGTACAATTCTCGCGTATTCTGAACAGGTAGAAAATTACTGTCTTCGAAAAAGTTTCCTATCGCTTGGTACACAATAGTTCAAAATGTTCACACACCGTGGCGTTAGTATACACGCGAAATTCTCGCATGTAAAATATCTCGAGATTCTGATCAGATATTTTTCGCTAGTGGACAGTAGTTCAACATTTTCTCACTACGTAGCGCTAGAATATACGTGAAATTCTCGCATGTGGTTTGTTTCGAGATCCTAAGTGGCACTAGTATACACGTGAAATTTTCTCGAGATCCTGAACAGCTAGAAATTTATTGTATTTGGCAAAGCTGTTAAGGAGATAAAGATCTTTTGGCTGATGAACAGTAGTTCAGAAATTTCTCAAAACTTGGCGGGCAATTCTCGCATATCAAATATCATAAAATAAAAATACAATTTAAATCAGCCTAAGTGGGATTAGACAAATATATTCTGGATTTCTTTTACTGGTGAAGATTTTCATGCAGATTTGTGGATACATAAATTGGGGTGAGTCTTCCACTTGTATACCTCCGATAAATTAGTGATAAAACGTATCTCAGATGGAAAACATTATCTTAAACGATCAATATCGCTGAAACTTCCATCAAATGAATGTTTAGAGTCGCTCTTTTATTCTAGGTTAATTTCAAAATGTCTTATCAAGGGGTCTAGAACAAAAAAAAAATCCCTGTATTTACGTGTGCACGGACAACGAGATTAACTCAGAGAGTGAGGCACTTTTGCTCAGTTGAATGGAGAAATTTATAAAACCGTACACTCCCGATCATAAGTTTAAGGACACCCCCTAAAAACGTTCAATGTTCGTTCTTTTTAGAACATTTGAAAGATTTTGAATGGAAATACGAAGAGGCAAATTGCTCAATATCATTTTCAAATTTTGTATACCAAAGCTTCACCTAAAGTTACACTATTTTTCAAAATTTGCTCTGAAGAATCATGATTGATTTTCTCATAATTGACTTGAAAAAAACCACCAGCAAAAAAGCTTTGATCTCCTAAACAACTTTGCCGAAGACAGTAATTTTCTAGCTGTTCGGGATCTCGAGCTGTAGCATATATAAGGATTGCACGTATATACTAGCGCAGCGCAGTGAGAAAATTCTGAACTACTGTTCATCAGCCAAAAGACCTTGACCTCCTGAACCACTTTGCCGAAAAGAGTAACTTTCTATTTGGTCAGGATCTCGAGATATTTTATACGTGAAAATTTCACGTGTACACTAGCGCCGCGTAGTGAGAAAATTCTGAAATATTGTGCACCAAAAATAGGTTTTAACCTCCTGAACAACTTTGTCGTAGACAGTAACTTTCTATCTGATCAGGATCTCGAGATATAGCATATGCGTGAAGTGTACATGTATACTAACGCCACGGGGTGAGAAAATTCTTAACTACTGTTTACCAGCCAAAAAGTCTTGACGCTCTAAACAACTTTGCCGAAGAGAGTAACTTTTGCTACTGCTATTGAATGTGCGAGAAAGACACGTATTTCAGTGCCGCATAGTGAGAAAATTCTGAACTATTGTCACCCAACAAAAAGATCTTGACTTCCTGAAAAACTTTGTCGAATACATTTACTTTCTATCTGGTCAGGATCTAGAGATATTTTATATGCAAGAGTTTCATATGTATAGTAGCGCCGCAAAGTGAGAAAATTCTGAACTACTGTCCACCTGCGAAAAAGCCTTGACCTCCTGAACAACTATGCCGAAGACAGTACCTTTCTATCGGGTTGGTAACTCGAGATATTTTATATGAGAATTGCACGTGTATACTAGCGTCGCGTAGTGAGCAAATTCTGGTCTATTGAGCACCAAGCAATAGGCTTTGACCTCTTGAAAAACTTTGTGAAAGACAGTAACTTTCTATCGGGTCAGGATCTCAATATATTCCATGTTGTAATCAATTAAGTCAAATCCGACGTGGTATGGTCACAGTTTACGCGGTTTCCATTTACATTTTCCCTATGATCCGCATTTATTAGGTGTTTACTGTAATCAAAGTTTAGCTTGTATAGATGAAAACAAGTTTTTTGAGGAATACTCGTTGGTTTCAGATCGATTGGTAACTCAGCAACAAAATGGCAATGGAAAACTCATGTGTGTTGTACAAAGTACAACAGCGCGAGTAACGGAGGGATAAGCAAAATTTCAGAACTAATTTTGGATTATTATTAGCATTGGACCTAGAATTCTCATCCAATCATCATAGAATTCTTCTCAGACATCTCGTTAAAATGCACTCTCAATTACAATAGAATTATTTCCCAAATTGTTTTAAGCCAAGTTTAACTATATAGGTAAACCTGGCTTAAGATTTAAGCGGAGATGAAGAAATCGGTCCTCGGAACACGTAATTTAACATGAGACTTGCGTAGTCTGTACTTTGGTATTCTTCTCTGATATATCTTGGTGTCATCCCTAGAATCCTTTAAAATTCTCTTTTAAACCGAAATTGAAGGTATTTGGTGATTTCTGATTACGACTTTCTCAGTCTAGGGTGATCCTAACGGTCAGTTTTGCAATGTCCGACATTTCGGCCTCATTTCCTTGAAAACGGCCACAATAAACTACCGAAACGTCGGGTAATGCAAAACTGACCGTTTGGATTATCCTTGACCGCTGTATACGTTAATTTGCTTATAACTATAACAACTAGGCTTTTTGCACCAGTCAAGGAGTTTCCACCAACACCCGATTAACCTTCTAATCCTGGCGACCCAATAACCCCGATTCATACCAAGCAAATGCCTTCGCTTCCAACCAGCAGCCGGTTCTATTTGCATTTACCCGACTAGCCCGGTGACACACAATCGATAAGTACCTACAACCAAGCTAAAGAATGAAGAGAGGCAGCCGTCATAGAAACCGTTCATCGTGTACCAAAAAAGGAAAATTGTTCCGCTCACGCTATGCTGGCTTCTTTTCTTGCGCATCACAATAAATGGATGAGCATAAAACTTTGCGTTTTGTCCCCCCATCTACCTTGCACATCACACGTAAGTGTGTCTATTGCTGCCATATAACCATTTACCTCTTCTACCTATTTTTCCCTTCAGTGCAGTAGAGGAAAGCCAAGCAAGCGGAAAATCGTTCCGATTTGGTTTAACGTCACTCTTCTATGGTTGCCGGGCTAGCGAACGATGCTGGTCATCGTTGCGTCCATCGTCGTCGTCGTCTAGCATTTCTAAAGAGCCGGTACAAATCATGAATAAATTATCATTTGCAGAAGCATGGTAGAAGACTACTTGCGGCCGGCATTCATGAAAGCAGCTACCCTCAATAGAACCTGTGCACACACACGTATGAAGAAGTGCATCTTTAATCCCCCCCGGAGGAGGATCATAAAACATCCGAAGGAGACCGGAGAGGAGCAGAAAGCCACCTTCCGTAACACAACCGGTTGTTTTGTGTTGCCTTGCAGCGTTGTCTTCTTGGTGGATTGGTGTAATGTCACTGCCACTGCACTGTTTTCGAGCTGCTACTAGAAGCGAAACAATCATGCCGGGCGGCAAGAAGGGAGGGTTCTGAACTGTTCGTGAAAAGCTCTTTCACTGTTCGTTTAGTGCTCAGAGATGTCTTGTCGCTGTTTCATTCATTAGCCTTCCGGCCCCGGTTGGTTGGTTGGCCGTTGGGTCAGGGTCGAAGAACGGGAAGTCGTAAACCATTGGCTTCTCGGATTAGATTGTGAGGAAGTGATCTGTTGATTGGGAATTAAGTCGAGGAAAGATTTCTTGGAAAAAGATTTAACAGGTAAATCACAATTCAAGCGAGCAGATCCACTAGTTTGACCCTGTTCCTCAGTTCAGTGCCGAGAAAGCACTTGGGTGTGTGTGTGTCTGTGTATTTTATGCACGCTGCTGACAATTCTTGCTGCAGTAATGCTTCTTCAGAGGATTTTCGTTTCTTTTTCCAGCTGGCTGAACATTCCAGGAATTGAAAGAGCTTTTAAGCTTATCCCCAACAGGCACCTCTTCAGAAAGCACTGCTCAAGTTGGTCCACTTTGGATTCGGTTCTGTTAGCTGGATTTGATATTTACTATGAGCTTCGATTTCGTTTTAAGGCACCAGCAAAGTGGCAATTTGGTTCCATGCGCTGACATTTTTCTTCCAATCAACCCCCAAATAAACTCACCCATTCATTCAATTCGGAATAGAATGCCCCGTAACTGAAATAAATTTCCATCATCATTGATTATTTTCTGAATTGCCTTCCCTCAATCCACCTCGGGGACCGTTCAAACTGAAACGCAATCCATTTCATACGCTTTTATGATTGCCATGCCGACAGTTGAGCCCATATCGCTGAAATGATGGTCCCAACCAGACCAGAGCGCAACCAACCGATGAATGTTGGACTGTCGAGAGAGAAAAAAAAATCCCCCAACAAATGTCACATTCAAAAAGTCAATCAAAACATAAATCTCTCCCCCCTTCTTCGTGGTTGTCCCCGCGGATGCCAACTCGCACACTGAATACAGTATGAATTTTGTATGCTTTATCATATTGTGAAGGTAGTTGTCATCACAGGGGATGGACACTTACGCAACGGGGCCGACACTCGAAGACTGGCTCGCTGATGCTGCGACTGCTGCTGGGGTCCAACGGGGTTGACATTGCTGCCGACGGTTTTCGACGGTGGACCCAAATCACTGGACGACGAGTTGATTGTGCGCACATCTCGTTTCTTGGCTGGTCCTGTGGAATGGAAATCAATTGGGGAAAAGAAAAGAAACCAGTGAGAAACGGTGATGATATGATAATCAGATTTGTTTTGTTTTGGCATGGTTTGAAGGTTAGGAAAGGGGCATTCCGGGATCTGCAGCAGTAGCCGACAAAGCAATTGAACTGTCCGGCAGTGATTTATAAGTCAATGCATAAGTTCTCGTGGCGGGAGAAGACAATGCAATGATGATCGTAAATTCAACCCGCTATTTGTGGGTTTTGGTTCGGCTTGAGTATTCAAGGGAAGTACGATGATTGGCTAAGGTCCCGAACGTTTTCGCTGGGATTAGCGAATCAAATATTTAAGAAAGAATTATGAGCCGCAGTTGTACGGAAAAGACGTGTAGAGGCTGAAAATAGATATCTGACGCTATTATGAAACCCAAGATGGCGACTTTCGATTTGCGGAAAAAATGCCTCTTTACCAAATTCAGCCACTTTACATATGACATTATTTCACGGTCCAGAACACGTCAACTGGGATTCCAAAATGATGTCGACATCCTCATTTTTTAATTCTTATCCCCCGAAGTGTGGAGGCTTCGATGCACCAGTAGCTCCTTGGAAGAATTCTACTGTTACTGTGTTTTTATTTTTCACAGTTCACCTCAAGTTCATCAGTTCTAACCACCATGACATCACTGAAAATTTTACCTAAAATAGTAAAAAGTGGGTTAACTCACTGAATGAGTAAAATTTTCCTCAAAAATCTGCTCGAATATGATGAAAATCGGGAAAAAATAATCCAGTCTACACGGCCGATAAAAGTAATTCAGTACTGAGTTGAATCCAATTTAAAATTTCTTCGCATTGTTTCTCCGCGACTAAATTGAATATCTCGGCTGCCAAACGGTTTCAGTCAACATGTTATACATATTCTCAAAGTAAAAATTCTGCTAAATCGATTGGTGGTAGTCTCATTGGTTGGAGACTTTTGCGTATCGAGATAGAGGGCCGGGATCAACCTGAGTTCCCGGTAAAGTTGGAAATGCCACTATCTATCGACATAAATTTAAACTTTACTTAACGTATATTACTGGAAATTGATATTACTAAGTATATATGGTGTAAAGACACCATATACGCCCTCAGAGAAACTCTACTGGCCTGAAGGAGGATCCGGAAGGACCGATAAAGTGGCCACAGTATTAAAAAAATGTCCTAGAACCTTGTGATTTTTTCTATGTTGTTCAGAATCAAGAGATCAAAGCGAATTTAATAAAGAATTTAAATTTTGGGGTAAAGTGGCCATATTCTGGTTCTTCGGATAATCTGGATTGACCGATAAAGTAGCCACATTTTAAAAATTGTTCTAAAACTGTTATTTGTTCAGAATCACGAGATGAAAGCGTATCCGGTTAGAAATCTCCTTATACCTTTTGGCAAATTTCTATTGCTGATTATTCATAAAATGTATAAGTCAACTAATAAGCAGACGCCTTGCAAAAAGTTAAAGAAGATCATGTGTCAAATGAAATGTATAAGCGATCACACATACCTTTTATTCATTTTTATAGGACCTATGTGGTTTGTCTTACGGAATGTATAAGGCTGAAGTTTTGGCAAAAATGTATAAGTGAAACACATGAATAAAATAATGGATTTTGGTTTCGTGTCCTTTAGGCCAGTAAAGCTTCCCTGAGGTCGATAGATAGTGGCATTTCCTACTTTACCGGGAGCTCGGGTTGATCCCGGCCCTTTATCTCGGTACGCAAAAGTCTCCGGCCAATGAGACCACCATCAATCGAATCAGCAGAATGTTTCCTTTGAGAACATGTATAACATGTTGACTGAAACCTTTTGGCAGCCGAGATATTCAATTTAGTCGCGGTTTTGTCAATTGTTGCCCACTGTGCAGTGTTGGGAAAATATCAAAAAATCAAATCTCACCAATGCTCAAGATCACGCTTGATTTTGGTAGACCAAAATCACAAGCATACAGCTGCGGTTGATTTTGCAAGCTGTGATTATCGCAGCTCGGAATATCAAGCTCACCAGCTGCAAATCTCAACAAACTGTGGTGAGATTGAGTTTAATGATTTTTGCTTTACATCCGAACGCAACCGAAACTTCCATAACGGCTGGCAGCAATCACTTCGTGTCTGCCATCGGTGAACAGTAAAAAGAGATAGCATACTATACTTTCTCTTTCAAAGAAAACGATATGCAACGGAATGATTTTTGTGTCTAGTTAACTCTCTGCTTGATTTTTGCACGTTGTGAATAGTCTCGCAATATCAAAGGAGCTTGTAAAATCAATATCAAGCATGATATTTTGTTCCAATATCACGCGTGATATTGAGAGCGTAGGAGAGCGGAAAAATATAATTTGATTGATGATTTTACCAACACTGCGTTTAACAAATTCAAAGTGAGCGCTTTAAATGGCAATTTTAGGTTAGGTTAGGTTTTCTTTATTAAGGAGGTTTTCAGCCTTGGGCTGGTTCGCCTCCGGAGGCCCCAGATTGGGGCTTTCCACATTATAGAGTTTTTGTATTACAGAGTTTTGTGAAAGGTTTTTCTCGGAGGGAGACCCAGAAGGGGTTCTCGTTTCGGTCAGAAGCTCCGGAGGGGACCTTCCGTCTGTTGCAGTTTATTGTTATACGGCTTCCTGGAGAGAGTCCTGGGTCATGGCGGTTGTCGGGATCTGGGATGGGTTCTTCGGTCTGGTTGATGGGTAATATCGTTTTTTGATGGCTTTCATTGAGTTCTTAGCGGTGGTCGGTCGTGAAGGTTTCGTTGGTCGGTCTTTTGTTCTGTACTTGGTTGTGGGGTGTCAGGGTTCGTGGCGGTTGTCGGGGGGTTTATGGGGGTTTTATTTCCCTGGGTGTGGTATGAGGGGTTTCCTGATGGTGTTCCTGAGTCGTGGCAATGGTCGGTGGTATGGCTTAACGGCGGTGGTTGTGTGGAGGGTTAGATATTTGTATATAGACCCACATCTCTGACGAAGCAGGTCGTTTGAGAGGGCTTTCCGGATGCTACCCTGTATCCCGTATGCCTCTCTAGGGCCTTGGAGGAGTGGGCAGTTCATTAAGAGGTGTTCAACGTTGTTGGTGGTGTTGCAGTGATCGCACCTTTTCCTAAAGGGGCCTCTACCCCCCCATGTTGTGGGTGGATCGGAGTCGGGAGAGGATCCGTTGGTCTCGCCAGTTGGTTGTGTCCGTCCATTTGCTAGTTTCCCCTTTTATCTTCCGAATGAAGGGTTCCCTACGGATAGCCCACTCCTGGGACCAGGCGTTGCAGAGAGTGTGCTTGACGAACTTTTTGGCATCTGGGCCCGGGACGCCCTTGGTGTATAGCCGTCCCCGACGACCTGTAGCTGCGACGTTGTCAGCATCGGTGTTGCCTCGGATTCCACAGTGGCTCGGAACCCATACGAAGGCCGAGCCCCTGGGAGCCTGTTTTTGTGTGCATTGGATCCATGGGTGCTTGGCAATCGGGGACCTCAGTGCGGCCAAAACACTCGCGGAGTCCGAGAGTATGCAGATTGGTCTGTCGGAACGAGTGGTGATGGCGTGGAATATGGCGGCGGCCTCGGCCGAGAATACCGAGCATGCGTTGGGCAGGCGGAAGAAGGAGTTACCTAAGTGGTCAGCAACTCCGAAGCCCACCCCGTTGGTAGTCCTGGAACCGTCGGTGTAATGGCAATTTTAGTTATTCAAACGAAACGGTTTTCTACGGTATTCAAGTAGTTTTTCCAGGAAAATCGAGGAACGATTTACTCATTGACTGAGTAGCCCCTTTTTTCGCATTTTTGAGTCAAATTGGACTCAATTTTGAGTTACTCTGATTGGCTGTTATCAGTATACTCATAAATTCAAAAGACGTAAAAATTTTCTCATATTCAAGCAGATTTTTGAGGAAAATCGAGGAAACTTTTACTCACTCACCCACTTTCTAAAATTTTGGGAGAAATGCTACTAAATTTTGAGTTAGTCCCATCGGTCGTGTACGACGTCGAAGCAAAACGTACAAGTAAGCTCTTTTATAACCTCGCAATCGATTCGCCTCTCTCTGTTCTCTCGATAGTAATAGCAAGCCAGCAAGCATGTGATTGGTTGATCGCGACAAAAACATTTGATCAATTTTCAATAGATTACTAATGACAAATTACTATTATCTTTATACCAAACAAATCTTACATGAAATATCAATAAAATGGTGTCAAAATAGTTTAAATTTATCAATAAATGGTCAAGCTATAAACGTTTAAAACATGACGCTGTTTCGTCACACCATTTTTTGATTTGCATCCCAGTATAGTCCACGAAGACGTAGTTGTATGTAAACTTAGGACTACGTGGTATTATATAATAAATGTTATTTGTTAACTGCAGCAGAAGCGTGTGTTTTTTGTAGGAATAGGAATTTGAGCAGGGTTCTCCTTGTTTATACTTGCGGCTTCTTCCTCCTTTTATGGATGCTCATGTGGGCTGCAGCTCGCTTGCTTGCAGGCAGCCTTTCGTTGTGTACTGGAGAGCAATGTTCAACGCCACACGCTGAAAGCACTGCTGCTGCTGCTGCTGCTGCTAATACCGATGACCGGACACCACCACACACGGTGATTGGAACTGAATCCGATCAGTGGTTGAGGGCAGCCTTGATAGCTAGCTGCTTGTGGGGAGCCTTTCGTTGTGTACTGGAGAATACCACCACTCACCACGCGGTGATTGAATATACACTGTTTGGTGCGACCGGATGGGATTCAACTTTGAAATCTGTGTTAGGGAAATCGCTTTTCGCAGGCAATCGGTGATAATTTTAATCATCATAGCAACAGTTGCACATTCGTGCAATTTTCAATATAATTGAAAAATGATAAAGTCTTAATTTTAACATATTCGCAGAAAGAATTCCTATCGATTGGCGTATTAAGAATTAAAATCCATCATCTCTGGATCAAAATCAGACCACTTTCATGCCGCGACCGACTTGGGTGTTTGAAATTGCACCCCCAATGTTGAACAGGGTAT